ATACATATGTATGTATACTTATGCATATATATATATATATATATATATGTATATAAATATTTTACTAAAAATGCTTTTAAATTTATTTATTTTTGTTCTTCTTCTGGGGCATGGCATTTTATTTATTAAATTTTTTAGGGGTCAGGTTTATTTAATAATAATTAATTGCCTACAACCTATTTTGTTCATTTTTTTTTTTTTTTTTTTTTTTCAATTGCAAGCAATGAGTAAACATAAGCATGATGTTAATTAACCCAATAAAAAAAAAATAGGGGTAATAATAATAATAATGATAACTTTTGAATAGCGAATTTTTATTTATTTTTAATGATTGATTTGGGTGATTTAAAAAAATCACGTGGGCAAATTTATTTATTTATTTTTCTGTTTAAGAAGAGCTTTATAAAATTCGCTTTAAAGTTGACAAAATTATTTTTGTTTTTTTTTTTTAAAATTGCATTCGAAAAAAAATGGTTTACAAAGCACACACACACACACACATTATTTACCACATTTTAAAATTATTTATTTATTTAGAAAAAAAGGAGCTTTATGTGAGTGAGCTGTTGTTGTTTTTCCTGTCAATTTAGTTTTTAATGTTGTTAGTTTTTCTTAAAAAAGAAAATTTATTTTAGGTTAGAAAAGCTTTGAACATACATTTTTTTCTGTATTTTTCACAATTTTATATGATTGTAGTTCTCTCGTTGTTTATTATTATTATTATTATTATTATCCACCATTAAACACGACAAGGCTACTTGTCGGAGTTTTTAAGTATTTATCCGAGGTTTCTACCCGATTCCTTAGGGACAAATACTCGAATTTCGGTGGTGCCACTTATTATAAGATAGCACCACATCAATTCTTGAAGGTCTTCCTGAGTCCGTCTTTTTCGATGGGAACGATTTGTCTCCTGAACTGGGCTCCGGTGACTAACATCTTTGGAGTGGCCAGGGTCAGAAGCAGTGAAATTCACGTTCTCGTCGAGCTGCCTCAGGTCGACAGGAGAACAAGATTTGTTTTTTGGTTCTTACTTTGTCTTGTTCTCATTTTTTTTTTTGCTCTTTTAAGCCAACAGCACGTGGCGTTCTCAGACGGTCACCCATCCAAGTTTGCACCACGCCCGATGCTGCTTAACTTCGTGATCGTACGGGACCGGTGTGACAGCACGC